TGGAGCATGGTAGAACAAACTGATGCAAATAACATATCGACATACAGTATGTCAGAGCAATATGATAAGTAAAACTTTAATCCCCAATTATTCAATTTCTTTAATATGAGTTTCGTTAACACTGATAACTAATCCATTTGTTAGTGGTAATGGATCAATTTCCTACAGCCAACAGTTCTAAGTTCCACAAAAATAATTTGAAAACTAAGTTTTTCATAATAATTTGATTGCATAATGTCCCTAATGTAATGATTAACATTGTGTTAAAATTTGGATTTAATTGATTGACTCAACGGAAAGCTATTTTTTAATCAATGGGTTTCCTGACATTTTTACCCCATTGTTTCTCTGCCACATTAAGTTTATAACAAACAACATTTAAGGCCCCCTCTTAAACAGGCACAAACAACCACCTGTATTCACTTTGCAAACCACAAAAATAGTCTTGACACAGAACTGCTCAAATACCTCACCTCAAATACATTACGCATTTTAAACAAGCCCGTACCTAACAAGTAACGATTCCCTCCCCTTGGCCAACAAATCTTTCAAAATCATGTAGATTTTCACCATTCACATACATGTATTGATGTCAGAGCAAAAGAAGTAATACTTTTATCCCTAAGTTATTTTCAATTTCTATGAAATGAGTTTTGTTCACTGATAACTAATCCGTTTGTCAGAGTTAATGGATTAATATCTAGAGCCGATTGTTCTTATTTCCACAAAAAGTAACAATTTGCAAATTAAGTTTTTCATATTTATTTGATTGTATATTGTCCCTCATTCTAGATTAACATTGTGTTAAAATTTAGATTGAATCAATTAACTCATTAGAAAGTTAATTTTTGATTTTTAATTGATGACTTTTCTTAACTTTCTTTAACTTTAACTTTAAATATAACTAAATAATGTTCATAAAGTGAATCTATCAGTTTTATTTAGTTTGTTTAATTACTTAACGCTGACAGTGCATTGTCAATCATTAATAAGCCAGATAAGTAAAAAAAATAAGAAACGATGACGTCATTTCGTATAGTTAGCGTTTTTAGAGCTCTGATTTAATAGTATATCCTGAAATAGGCCAGAAGAAGCTGTTTTCCATAGAATCGGCGGGTATGTCTGGTTTTATAGGTCCAATAGAGTGGTAGGCAAACTATTTGTTAGCCTAGATATATAACGCAGCCTATATTAGCTCATATTTTGTAGAGTTGAAAATAGTACTAACTATACTAGTTGTCCGCCAAATCTCTTGGTATAGGTTGTGTCTCTACAACACGGGAGATTCAGGAGATATTTCACACAATGACAGTTGATATTAGAGCATAGTTAACAGGAGATTCTATTACTATATAGCCTTTATGGCACAGTGCAAACAGCCATCAGAAAACTTGATGATAGCCACAAGTAACGTCGAGGAAGCATTTCAAGGCGTTCGATCGCATATGACTCTAATCGATTATTAGACATGCCCTTGGAATAAATGAACATTCCAATACCTCTGTAACATTTAATTAGATATAAATCTTACCTATTTGTTATTGTATTATGTTTTGTAAAACATGAACAATAATTTGCTATTAGACCCCTTGCGATAATATGGGAAAATTCTGGTAATAAAATGTTTTAAATGGTAAGAAAACTAATATGTTCCCAATCATAAATTACCTAAATATTCCACATAATTTTGTTGAATCGGCTTGGCTTATATTTGAGAAATCAAACAAAATCTGAAAAACACACTTGCATAATTACACTAATTAAAACACCGACATCTACGGTAAAAATAAATACTATATTTTTAAATAATGATAATTCATTTTTGTTAGTATGCTTAGAATAACGGTAATGTATTAAAGTTCGAATCAAAATATTTACGTTTTTTGACCCCTTGTGATGAAAGACGTTTTTCGACCCGAAAGCCGGAAGTTTTTCAGCAAATGGTATTTTAAAAGAATCGAGACATGTACACCTTCATAAATATTGCTTCAAATGTTGCTGCGATATAGTGTGCTACGGATCCTTCATATTCGGAAGTCATACCATAGACTATACTGGAATATGACAGGTTCTAAGCTGCTGGTAATTTGTAAAAAAAATCTGACAAATATTTTTCTTAACTTACTAGTATTTAGCGAAAAGGGTCAGTTATTTTCCACTGTTAAAAAAAATGTACCCAGGCCTAATCATTAAAAGCTCGAAGAGAGAAATTCATTTTGCACGTGTAACTTTTAAGGATGAAACTAAGATGGAAATATCTTGCATTGGGTTAAGATGGCTCTATCTTGTTTAAGCCACAAAAAAACTGTATCACTACTGTATAACCAATGCATATACAGGTTGGTAAAAAACGGAAAGCATGGCGCCATTTCCTCATATCTTTGTCATTTGAGGAAATTACACCCTGATATTTAGCACATTTGTACATCATTCAATTTTCTACCAGCCTACCATATTTCGTGACGCTTCAATGTCGCCACAATGATGGTAGCAAGGGTCAAGGGACATATTACATAAGTATATGTCTCTGATTACCTGTACTTTGATCTGCACACATATAGATTAATTAAAGTTTCTTTATAAAATATTCGAAATGAATGTATTCATGCCTTCTATAAACTGTGAACAAAGTCAATGCTTCAGCTGGTTTATATTCGAGATCAATCCCCCGGGTGACTCATTGGTCAGTTTAGGCCGTTCCGTTCTTTTCGCATCCCCCTCTCGTCTGCAAAATTCAAAATGGCAGGGAGAAATTGTCCGGAGCCAAAATTTTCTGTTTGAGCATTTGTAAACTGTAATCTCAATAATTATCTATGTAGTAGATATGCGTGAAACCAATAAAGACCAATAAAATAGGCCGAAATGTCAACAAAAAACTTAAGTCGGGTCAGGAGGTAAGTAAACAAATTGGAACAGCCAAACGCTCAACCGGAAGTAGAAATGAAAAAAGTGGAAATGAACATCGAAATTGACGATTTTGCAATATTCTGGTGAGTTTTCATGTTCGAATCGTAATATAGACCTCAGAGCAGGGCTACTAGTTTCGAATACGCCCCTTAGGTCGAGGCAAAACGCTTTCGAACCCCTGACTCCCTTCGGTCGTTCAGGGTACAGAAAACGTTTGTGCCTAGACCCCGCGGGGTGTATTCGAAACTAGTAGCCCTGCTCTTCGGTCTATATTTCTTAATTAACGCAGGTATCGTGAATTTCATTAAATCGCATTCCTTCCATGCAGTTGACGCTTACGATTGTTTTTATGAAGACTTACTTTATTTGTTTGTGTTTTACTTCATGCATTACATTGAAATACAGTGATGAACGTGAAGGATTTGACAGGTCTAGGTGCCTATTCTAAGTTCTCTCCCTTTGGCTGTCCTAAAAAGGTGTTACAGTTAAAAGTCTTATTTGTTTTTGTAGGATAAGAAGCTTGGGATGAAGTGAAAAAAGCGAAAGGAAGAATTAGTTGTTTCAGAACCTTTTTTGTAGTTCTTATGTAATTGTGAACAGCAGTAAAGGTGGCTTTATGTTCCTTGGCTGTTTTTTTCTAGTGTATCCTATGATGAGTTTTGCTAATGTTATCCTTGGTAGTTTTGTGTTTTGCTTTTCGTATAAAGGACATTCTTTGAAATAATGTTCTGTATTTTTCATGGGGTTTCCACATTCACATCTCGGATTATCTTCGGCATGGTTGAGGTATAGATCTCTACATCCCAGTCTTATCTGTGTGTGTCTCATTTGCGTGTCTCTTTCCCATGGTAACAGTGCTCCAGTGACTTATTTTTATGTGTTACTAATTTCCTATAATGCACCTAAGATTTTGTGGTTTTTTTATTGTTGCTTCAATGTCGTTTCAAGCTTTTATGGTGGCTGGTAAAAATGATTTTCTATTGGCATCAGTTCTACATACTGTGCCAGGCATTAGTAGGTTGTTAACTCGTCGAAGATCGTGATCCGGCCTTCTCGTGACTTCATGAAATAATATTGAATATATTAATATTAAATTCATTAAGATACATATCGGAAAACCTCCATATTTTATTAAATAGTTTGTGAATACAATTAAGCTTTCAATAATAAAGCTGAGGAAAATATCAATGAGTTAATCAAAATAGATATATAAGACAATGCACAAAACAAACAATTTTACATAGTACGAATCATCAAAATGTAATTTTCATAATAGTGCATTCAAATGCGCATGGCAAAGGGCATTGACTGATAAAATATTCGACCGATCCAGCGGTCTTATTCATTTGTGACTATCAAAATAAAAATGTATTAATTTTTTAAACATCTTGTTACATCTGTCTATTTCATCCCACCGTATTGCTATTGTTCAAGTACAATATTTACAATATCTTCATAGGAAAGTACAAAGCTATACAATGTTTTTAGTATACATTTAAAATGTTTTTGCTGCAGTTAGATGAAAGTTAATTATTATAACTGATTACTAGTTTATTTATTGATTCTTTAATTATGTTCAGTACTGCTATATTTCTAACGCCCTTCTACATGTTTAAAAATTTGATATCAATTTCGGAAGTATCAATAATTTCAATATTGGCGGAAATTTTTATTTTCATCATTTTCACCAACAAAAAGGTTGATTTGTATCTCGATAGTGTACCATTCTGTGAGTCGTTACCTCCGATTACTGAAAAGCTATTCAGTCACGATCAAATATTTTCATCAGCTTCAATAATCGAGTAAGAATTTCTTAGTTTATTAACCAGGACGTTATCTGGCGAATTTCATAATGTCTTGGTTGCGTTGTGTTACGTTGTTGCTGAAGTAAGGACTTTTTTGATCGATTTTTGAAGCTGCTGGATATATTTGGTCTTGAATGACAAGCTTTTCAGTAACCGGATGTTGCTAATCATGAAGGGTGAACCTCGGCATCTATTCATGCATCTAAATCGCCAGTAAGCATACAAACAAATAAACAATCCAAAAATAAATCCATATTTTGTTTACACTGCACAATCAGAGGGGAAAACTTAGTCCAAATCTGCTGAACGATGCTTACGTTGCCGCCATTCGACGATGAAATATCCCAACATGCCCACAGTCAGGAATCCCATGAGAATATAAATCTTTACAGTAATGCAAATCCAGTTGCTGTAAGCGAACGCCATTATGAATCCAATGCTCTCCCACATCCGGTAGTTAGCAAAGGCGGCTTCTGATTGGTCAGTGAAAAGAAACCCGTACAAGGCTGAAATGTGTTAGTAAGTAGGTGTTATTGTTAATCATGCAAAACCCGTATGTGTAAAATTGAAATCTCTGTGAATGAATCTAAGCAGGAGTAGGGCCTATGTCATGGGAACTCGACTATGTTGTCGTACACTTTTTATCTTAATATGTAAATGTTTAAATAGCCATCTACAACAGTAAAATTAAGCCATGCGTAAGCCTACTTAGAGTAAATGAAAATGAGGTAGATACATGTATGAACAGTAGTTAGCTCGGACACGATTAGTAAAGTTAATGATTAAAAATGTTAAATTAAATCATGCATGCATATTTATCAGTGTTGTAGTTGTTGTCTTATTTCATTAAAGCAATTTCATAAGATAGTTCTACCATTTATCTGCGCCTGCCAGACAGCATCTGACATTCCCCAAAGTGCGGCAAGCACGAAGAATACAGGTAAATAATCAGGATGGGGTTTCCAAAGCAGAAACGTCACTTGAACTCCATAGTTTAACACAGCGGCTGGAGTAAAATAGAAATGAATATAATGTACTGTTAAATTAGGGCGAACGCATTTATTCTTACTTGTCGCGTTCGTGATTTCCCTGTATCAAGCGTTCGCGTTATTAGCGTGATCAAGAGTCATCTGAATATCGATAATCGAAAATATGTTTTAGACTCTAGAAGTCGTTTCACCGTTTCAGAGGGGCGTCAGGTACACAGTCTGCATGAAAACATCTGCAACTTTCAACATCATTTACTGTAATGGGGTTTGGTTTCTTAAGACATGTTATACTTAAAAATCCGTTATTTTTCAACTCTGTTTGTATAACGTTTTGCTCTTTCCTATGGCACTTGTAATTAAGGCACGCGATTTTTACCTGCACAGAAAAATGGGAGCCTTCCTATGTACTTTACTCCTGCTCCAAGCAGGTACGAACATATCGAGTTGGTCACCCCGAATGTGATCATGACGAACCCCACCATCCATATTCCGAGAGAACAACCCACAAACGCCTGAAAACAATAGCTTTTATTTTAATTTTGTTCCAATTGTAAGGATGAAAATTGACCCTTTTCCATATAAATGGAAAAATAGATGGCATCATGGGTATTGGTAGGGCTAAATAACATGGCAAATCCTCTGTTGGAATATATAGTTTAGATCATTGGTTGACAAACCACATTGCAAGCTTGTACACCTTAATGGTATGTATACATTCACTACGGAACATTCAATGTAACGATTGTTTTTTTAAACTACTGAAATGTGTTGTCAAAAGAACTTTGGAACCAACATTTTCAAAACATAATATAATGTAATAACAATTTGTTTGTGTGATTGACATCGTATTTTCTTGAAGTAACTGTAATATTAATAATATACAAATATGGGTATTTTCTAACCAATAAATCACTACCTTAGTAAAATCCCCGGTGATGAATGCTTGTTCGAGTCCACTGTACATGGTTAGGGGTATCAATAGGACTTGGTTTATGTCTCTCAGGTGGGCAAATGTTGCTATCAAAAGTTCAGGCTTGTATTTTTCTGATTTGCTTTTTTCAACGTAATTCTGCAAACAGTCCATGTGATAAGTATTTGCTTGCTGCGACAGATTACATAGATGACAGTATGATATGCATAGGCGTAGCCAGGGGGGGGGGGGGGTGCGATGGTTGCATCAATTTTTGTAAAATTCAAGATAAATCTTATTTTTTGGCTTGTTTATGCCACAATCGCAATCCTCCTGACTGAAAGCCGATTTTTTGGTGATCACACCCCTGACTGAAAGCTGGCTACGCCCTTGATACGTATGTGATATACGTATTTATCAGTGTAAACATAGGGAATATTTATGGATCATCGCTCCAAGATCCTACTTCTTCACTATTAAAAAGTAACTGAAAGTAACCTGCACATTGTCTCATACGAAGTAAGTTTTTGAATATATTGCTTCCAAAACGTCATAGCTTACCTCATTATTGGCTCTTGCTTCTGCCTCCCTCCGCTGTTCTTCTTGCTCGGACACCTCCCTGTCAAGTTTATCTAGGAATAGTGCAACCAATATGGCACCGAAGAATGCAGATGCCACGTATATACCACATAGCATATGAACCTTTATAAAACATAGAAAAAATAGGCAAATCAAACCAGAATTTCCGATAACCTATGCATACAAGTATTCTGGTACGCCAAACAGTAACCAAACAATAACTTTCTAACTCAAAAGAAGATCAAAAATTCAAAATTGTGTGATATATGCAATAATAACAAAATCGATGATACCATACACTTTTATATTGAATGCCCAAACTCTGCCAAGATTTGGGACGATTTCAAAATTGTCCTCAATGTTGATCTAACATATAAAGATATAATTATAGGAAAATTAGATGAAGAAAACGAGGATAAAACTAAAGCCATAAATTTTTGTATTTTGTATACAAAAAGTTTAATACATAAATCGAGACTGACTAAAACTAAAATCACCTTTATCCAAATAAAGGAAATCATAAAATATAAAATCAAAGATGAACAAAACATTGCAAATTCAAATGATATGCAAGAAACATTCTATAAGACTTGGAGATCGGTTAGTGAACTATTAAGCCAATAACTATGTATTATATTTAAGGTATGGAGTTATATATTATAAAACTGTGGTAATCTATATGTCTTTGAAGACCATTGTACGTTATGCTGTAAACATTTGTAAACCATATTGTTAGAAAATCCTCATACATGGAGATGAGCTGTTAAAATAGTACCTATTTGTAAAATGTAAAAGAATTATATGAACATGTGTGTATATCATGTATGATGTGTGTGTAAGATCCAATAAAAAAAAAGAGTATAATTGATTGGAATTTGGTAAAAAAAAAAAGTATTCTGGTACAAAAATAGATGTCGTATTTATAGATTTATCCCCCTGCTCCTTTTATTAGACTCACATAATTTGCATGAGATGGATCAAATTCCAAAAATGAGTTTACCAATGATCAATTAGCTGCAGTTTTCATCAATGGTATACGCAGCTAGCAGAAGCGGACCGAAATGGATAAAAAAGCTGGATTGGTACGGATTAACGGTTTTATTTGAATTTAAAACAGCCATAATTTTCTTAATATTAATTTCTTCGTGTCCAATTTTAAGTCTATAGTATGATGCCCCTGATTGATTTGAAGTACGCAATTTTTTTACAGACGCGCGTTTGATTTTATAAAGAGCCGAAACTTCATGGTGACAAAGAATTTCCCCCTGGCTGCAAAACAAAATTATGTTCATGCAATTGTTCCGAACCGGTCCATTTTCTGGCTTAAAGCACGGGAAAATTCTTTGTAAACAAGTTTGGGATTTTTTGGGAAAATTAAACGCGTGTCATTGATATTCACGGGATTTAGATTACATGTAATTTGCATTATATCCTGATGAAGAAAAATATAATTACAAGTAACTGTCAACAGTACATATTGTTGACTTTAATAATCAAATTGGACGAAAATAAAATAAAAATTGTTAATATCAAAGTATAATGCACGACATCAATTCTCATAATATAATCTTCATAGCTATAAAATGTCACTGTACACTTGTTTTACATATAACAATGTACAAGATTTGCTATTGGTATGAGATAGGTATAGTTTACAAGTGTTTGTAAATACCAGACGTTATCTATAAAATGTAGGAAGCGCATACTTTAGATATATAACACTATTGATGGTTAATTATATTTACAAGTCAGTTCTTGTTAAAACTAGACGTTTCAAAATACAACTTGAAGTGGTGTTCTAAATCTTAAAAGATTAAATTCTCAAAACTAACATTGTTTTAGAAGAATTAATAACTATTTATCAATTACATTGACATTGGATTGGCCCTGTCTTGTTTGTTGATTTCCTGTCCATGTAGGGTATTTGTAAGGGCAATAGATCAATTGACCTTAGAAGCATTTTCTCATATATGAATTACTCAAATACGAGAGAATATATTTTGTAGTAAATGGAATCAAAACAGCGAGAACAACACTCTACCATACCTTGCATTTAGTGATCATGAGCAACCCATTTGGCTTATTTGTAAAGATAATGTTATTTGTTTTTATGTGTCTGTTCCTTATTAATGGTTTATCGGATGACTGTTCGATGTTTTAAGGAATTTTCAAAAATATACTAAACAATACATTTAGACAAACAGAGTATCTTATGCATTTCTAGGGGTTGGGTATAGTAGAGGAAACAAATAACCATTAAATTCACGTTTCTATTTTTCCAATGGAGAGGGGATTCGATACTCATTATCCAGCGCCCGTAATTTTCATGACTAGACGATTTGAATATAGAATATAACAACATCATACGATACGATCTTAATCTTAAAATCTTTTTTTCAACTCAAAATTTCTTTCTTCAAAATGTTGCATTTTACCTGGCTTATAGGTGGTTTCTTCAGAAGACTGTTTGGATTATTTTCTGGCTCCTTGCAGTAATTTGCACCACATTGCGCCAGAATCTCTTCGGAGGGTCGAGTAGAGTTGTCCACTCGTCTGTTTAACACAAATGAGGATATAAGATTCCCCCATATTTGACCTGGAAAGAGTTTAGAGTATAGGCATAAATTTTATTGCGAAATGAGGGTCGATACTGAAAACTGGAATGGTAAGGGTTAACATAGGTTGCAGTTGTTAGCTCTAGACTGGCCCCATAACTGTCAACTTTCGATGACAATTCTTAAAGTGACCGTTTTTTAATTCATAGATCTGTGTTTAAGCGAATTTTCGACACTTACTTGTCTGAAATATCAAGAAGAAAATCCCAAAGAATCGATTGATGACTGCATCCTTAGACTCTCCAGAAAGTAACGCGTACTTCTTTCCGACTTCTGTCACATAGGTACACTTCGCCGACCACAAGGGAGCTGCCCCAAACCCCAGGATTATCGCCCCCGGGACAATTGTCGCCCAAACAGCGTGGAAATTAGCGGCGATGTATGCCGAATAGCACACAATCGCAGCCACTATTGTCCATTTGCATCCAAAATGGGCAATCAGGAATTTAGGGAGGAACATACAGGATACGACTAAAGCTGCGTAGAGCACAGCGAGTCCACCTGTGCCGAGACCTTCCTCCTTATTCAGGCTGCTCTGAAGGTTTGATAATGATGAAAATGCAGTGAAGTTAAAGAGAAATCCAAAGCTGACAACAATGATGTTTTTGTATATTCGAAGTTTAGCCCTTTTAATATCTTTAGGGTCCATGGTGCTATAATCATTGACTGGTGATCCATTTTGTATTGCGTCCATCGGGTATGCCTCTTTAACACCATAATTGTTTGGATGTGCCTCTTTAAGAGCGATATCACTGAAACCACTTTTCCCCTCATAGTCATTTACATATCCTTTATTATCCCGCGACATTTTGTTCAATCAGTGGAACCACAGTGCTCTTGAGATAACCTGAAGACAAACGCAACGTATGTATGTATGTTTCAAGGATACTAAAATACCCAACCTGTTTCCCAGATGTACCATGTATTCCCGCATGCAATATAGTAAGATCCTTGGTAGATGTGGCTATTACATCAAGGTGCATGTGAAGGCACTGACACATTCTGCAATATGGTAATAATTCATATGAAAATTAATATTCCCCTTTTACAAACCATACCGATGAGAGACATAAATGTTAAATACCCACAAGACAGTTAATCGTTTTACTAATTCTTACCTTTTATTTGTAATTGCAGTAGCGCTTCGTAGACCAGCGTTTGGTATTTGTCTGCGCGTTTGTGAAAAAATCGAGAACACACACACACCCTTTTTTGGCTTAGATAAACGCCACAGTATGATATATGTCCATCTGTATATAGACATAAAACTTTGTAAAGTGATCCAATATTATCTATTAACGTGTGTCATTTTGCATTCCTGAACTAATTGGTCTATTGTTTATTTTTGATTTTAATTCTTAACAGTCTCAATACCCAAATAGTATCCAACTTGGTATACTAATTCAATAACTATACCCTCTGATTTTTGAAAGTTTTCATGTTATTTCGTGTTTAAAACATAACAAATAAAAGGGGATGACATACATGTACTGGTATTTATCTAATGAGAATGTTGACAAACACTCAAACCCTATGAATAAGATACAAATATGGTATTTTCCAATTAAACATAAACGCTTATCTAAAAGAGTAGCGACCGCTAAAGTGAATAGCGAATAAGTAAACAATCTGTATGCCAAAACTATAAGAGATCTGCGATTTTAAATTTTACATTTGAGTGAAATATTTAGAAATGAAAATTAACAAATGCCATTTTAAAGTTGGGTTAACATCTTGAAATTTTATAGACACCATGTCTATTATGATAACGTTATCAGGTCATCTTCACATTGTTTTATACCTGTATATCAATGAAATATATACCACCTTAAATGTAAATAAAAATCCATGATGGAGTTAAACATATATCATAGGATGTTCTTTTTATTCCATAGTTAAAGTCATCATCAGAGTCGTCGGAAATTAAGTGATTTAATTCGAATTTTCCAAACAATTCGGCGATGTTGACACTAAGCCTCGTTTTGAGTCTGAAGAAGCATAAATCCATAAACCATCGCATACGGCGCCGTATGTCATGGCAAAAAACCGTATGCTATGGTTAAGTGAAAATTTGTCAAAAATATCATATTTTACCACTTTTTACAAAAATACCGTTTTTATTTTCACATGTTATCCTATGAATATCATGCTAACTATGGAATAATAAGGCATATTCAGATCTGATTATTAGTCCCGAGCCCGACAAATGTTTTTCACAGAGCGGGATATAATAAATCACAGTTACACTGTCACGTAATTTTATAGGGCTCGCGGGATAGTCGCAATTGCAAACACCTTTATCCCGTATGAGCACTTTGTAGCACTGAGCCTCGGGACAGTCAGTTTCTCAAACTCACTGTCCCGTAATTTTTTTTTTGCAAACGACGGGATATAATTAATTGAGACCTGACATATCCCGGCGCTGGGTAAAAAAATTTGCTGCGGGATAAAGTGATTTCAGAACTTGACTAATGCTGATCAAAGTATATGCTATCAAGCCATCACACATCTCTATGTAATTACCATACTATATTACCCTTGCAAATAATTTCCATTTTTCATCATTGTACTGAATTATATCAACATCAGTCTTTAATCTTTGAAATGTTGCTAAAGTCTATTGGGAGGGGTGGCATGTACACACTTGATTCATAATGCTATTGTTTGTGTGGGGGGAGGGGGCATCTCCACACTTGACTCATATCATGGTCTATAAGAATCACAACTGTCACACATCATCATTCCATCTGGTATCATTTAAGTATCTATGAATATGATTTGTAGTATGTACATAAATCCTTGTGCGCCATCTTGTATCATATATTATGCCTATTGTTGTATATGTCTTTTTATTTTTTAATCAGCTAATATATATGTATATAAATCCTGGTGATGTAATGTTGTCATTTCTCAAGCCATCTCATATCATTTATCATCCTAATTGTTCATCTGTCAACAGCTCCTTCCAGTGAATTAAATAAAAGTTGTTTTTTACGATAAATACAGGTGAAGTATTGCGGCAATTCCACATGCAATCTGTTTTTCCATCTATTCCCTGCTGTTATTCCACCATATTCTATCTATATGTTTTTGACATGCTGATTACCCATGCCATACATCCTGAAATAAGCAAATAAGATTTATTTACCAAATATGAACAAAATCGCTCCACTACTTTTCAATTTATGGTTAAAAAAGTAAAAATGGTCGCCATTTTTCAAAATGGTCGTGTACTACCCAAAGTGTCATTAGACAGTGTGCCATGCTTAAAGTATTCACATATAAAATATGAACAAAATCGCTCTACTACTTTTTGAGTTATAGTAAAAAATGTAAAAATGGTCGCCATTTTTCAAAATGGTCGCCTACTACCCAAAGTGTCATTAGACAGTGTGCCATGCTTATAGTATTCACATACCAAATATGAACAAAATCGCTCCACTACTTTTCAATTTACAGTTATAAAAGTAAAAATGGTAGCCATTTTTCAAAATGGTCGCCTACTACCCAAAGTGTCATTAGACAGTGTGCCATGCTTATAGTATTCACATTTAAAAATATGAACAAAATCGCTCTACTACTTTTTGAGTTATAGTAAAAAATGTAAAAATGGTCGCCATTTTTCAAAATGGTCTCCTCCATCAAAAGTGTTATTAGACAGTGTGCCATGCTTATAGTATTCACATACCAAATATGAACAAAATCGCTCCACTCCTTTTCAATTTATAGTTATAAAAGTAAAAATGGTCGCCATTTTTCAAAATGGTCGCCTACTACCCAAAGTGTCATTAGACAGTGTGCCATGCTTATAGTATTCACATATAAAATATGAACAAAATCGCTCTACTACTTTTTGAGTTATAGTAAAAAATGTAAAAATAGTCGCCATTTTTCAAAATGGTCGCCTACTACCCAAAGTGTCATTAGACAGTGTGCCATGCTTATAGTATTCACATACCAAATATGAACAAAATCGCTCCACTACTTTTCAATTTATAGTTATAAAAGTAAAAATGGTCGCCATTTTTCAAAATGGTCGCCTACTACCCAAAGTGTCATTAGACAGTGTGCCATGCTTATAGTATTCACATATAAAAATATGAACAAAATCGCTCTACTACTTTTTGAGTTATAGTAAAAAATGTAAAAATGGTCGCCATTTTTCAAAATGGTCTCCTCCACCAAAAGTGTTATTAGACAGTGTGCCATGCTTATAGTATTCACATACCAAATATGAACAAAATCGCTCAACTCCTTTTCAATTTATAGTTATAAAAGTAAAAATGGTCGCCATTTTTCAAAATGGTCGCCTACTACCCAAAGTGTCATTAGACAGTGTGCCATGCTTATAGTATTCACATACCAAATATGAACAAAATCGCTCCACTCCTTTTCAATTTATAGTTATAAAAGTAAAAATGGTCGCCATTTTTCAAAATGGTCGCCTACTACCCAAAGTGTCATTAGACAGTGTGCCATGCTTATAGTATTCACATATAAAATATGAACAAAATCGCTCTACTACTTTTTGAGTTATAGTAAAAAATGTAAAAATGGTCGCCATTTTTCAAAATGGTCTCCTCCATCAAAAGTGTTATTAGACAGTGTGCCATGCTTATAGTATTCACATACCAAATATGAACAAAATCGCTCCACTCCTTTTCAATTTATAGTTATAAAAGTAAAAATGGTCGCCATTTTTCAAAATGGTCGCCTACTACCCAAAGTGTCATTAGACAGTGTGCCATTCTTATAGTATTCACATATAAAATATGAACAAAATCGCTCTACTACTTTTTGAGTTATAGTAAAAAATGTAAAAATGGTCGCCATTTTTCAAAATGGTCGCCTACTACCAAAAGTGTCATTAGACAGTGTGCCATGCTTATAGTATTCACATATAAAAATATGAACAAAATCGCTCTACTACTTTTTGAGTTATAGTAAAAAATGTAAAAATGGTCGCCATTTTTCAAAATGGTCTCCTCCACCAAAAGTGTTATTAGACAGTGTGCCATGCTTATAGTATTCACATACCAAATATGAACAAAATCGCTCCACTCCTTTTCAATTAATAGTTATAAAAGTAAAAATGGTCGCCTACTACCCAAAGTGTCATTAGACAGTGTGCCATGCTTATAGTATTCACATATAAAATATGAACAAAATCGCTCTACTACTTTTTGAGTTATAGTAAAAAATGTAAAAATGGTCGCCTACTACCCAAAGTGTCATTAGACAGTGTGCCATGCTTATAGTATTCACATACCAAATATGAACAAAATCGCTCCACTACTTTTCAATTTATAGTTATAAAAGTAAAAATGGTCGCCATTTTTCAAAATGGTCGCCTACTACCCAAAGTGTCATTAGACAGTGTGCCATGCTTATAGTATTCACATATAAAAATATGAACAAAATCGCTCTACTACTTTTTGAGTTATAGTAAAAAATGTAAAAATGGTCGCCATTTTTCAAAATGATCTCCTCCACCAAAAGTGTTATTAGACAGTGTGCCATGCTTATAGTATTCACATACCAAATATGAACAAAATCGCTCCACTACTTTTCAATTTATAGTTATAAAAGTAAAAATGGTCGCCATTTTTCAAAATGGTCGCCTACTACCCAAAGTGTCATTAGTCAGTGTGCCATGCTTATAGTATTCACATATAAAATATGAACAAAATCGCTCTACTACTTTTTGAGTTATAGTAAAAAATGTAAAAATGGTCGCCATTTTTCAAAATGGTCGCCTACTACCCAAAGTGTCATTAGACAGTGTGCCATGCTTATAGTATTCACATACCAAATATGAACAAAATCGCTCCACTACTTTTCAATTTATAGTTATAAAAGTAAAAATGGTCGCCATTTTTCAAAATGGTCGCCTACTACCCAAAGTGTCATTCGACAGTGTGCCATGCTTATAGTATTCACATATAAAAATATGAACAAAATCGCTCTACTACTTTTTGAGTTATAGTAAAAAATGTAAAAATGGTCGCCATTTTTCAAAATGGTCTCCTCCACCAAAAGTGTTATTAGACAGTGTGCCATGCTTATAGTATTCACATACCAAATATGAACAAAATCGCTCCACTCCTTTTCAATTTATAGTTATAAAAGTAAAAATGGTCGCCATTTTTCAAAATGGTCGCCTACTACCCAAAGTGTCATTAGACAGTGTGCCATGCTTATAGTATTCACATACCAAATATGAACAAAATCGCTCCACTACTTTTCGAGTTATAGTAAAATATGTTAAAATGGCGGCCATTTTTCAAAATGGTGGCAATTTTTCAAAATGGCAGCCTTCTACCAAAAGTGTCATTAGACAGTGTGCAATGCTTATAGTATCCACATACACTACCAGTCTAAAAAGTTAAGTTCGAACCCTGCATACCAAATATGA